CATGGTCTTTCATCTCATCATTCAAGTTCCAGTTCAAGTTCAAGTGCAAGTTCTGAAGTAAATCTCTCATCTGATGAAGAGGATCCTAACTTTTTACTTACTCTTGATCCTTCAGAATGGAAGGTAGAGTTTATGTATTCTATATAAGTATTATTATGTAGCAGTCAATTCCAAAACCCACCATCCTTCCCCTCTCCCGGTGCATACCCTAGCCATTTGACCGCCGTTTTGCCCATACAGTGGGGAATTTGACCCAAAATGAGGCCTGCCCAGACGGTCATTTGACCCCTTTTGTGTCAAAATGCTGGTCAGCGTCGCAAGCAAAAGGATTTTGTAATTCTTACTGCATTCAGTATGAGCATGGTGTTTACAGCTCTTTGCTCCTATATTCGCTGTTTTGTTGGAGCTTTGAGAACCTTTGAAAAAGCCTGTAAATGTGGGCTTTCTGGAATGTACAATTTTGTGTAAATGAAAAAACCTCCATAAGACAGTTTTCTGAGACTGAGATATTTCGGATGTGTATAACAATGTTTATATTTGAATAAAAGATTTGATGCATTGGGAAATTTTGGAACAGTTGCTGGTGGGTGAGGGATTTGATGCTTTTTGAAGTGCTAGCCAGTGGGCATTTGACCATCTAAACAGCCAACACACTGGGCAATTTCACCAAAATTTTTCAAAAACTTCAAATGCCCAGGGGGAAGAAGGAGGGGGCATGGGCGGTTTTGGGATTGACCGGTTCATTACCTTAACAAACAAGACTGTCACAGAGTTGTTACGTATAACTTAAAGATACTTTTTTCTGTTTGTTACAATAATACATTCATTTTGTGTAAAAGGAGGAAATTTGGTTCTTTCTCTTTCCACGTTTTTAAGAAACTTTGCAATTTTACGGTGTTAAAAATCTGGCCAGGTTTTGTCATACTGTTTAAAACTACTATTGGTTGTCAAATATTGGAATTGTTAAACAATGTTGTGCTATTTTCTAACTGCAAATACTGAACCAGGGCACATATTTTAACAATAAATTTCTAAAAATTAAAATTTGCATTGTCATGGTTAGGTGATGATTGTGGGTTTTTTTTGTACTGAGATTTTGTGTTGACATGTTTATGACATGTTTATGAGGCCTTATGTGCCACAAGGCACAAAGAGGATAGGTGAACATGAGTGTTTATGACATTCATTTTGCAGCAACAAGATCATTACAAGGTCCTTGGACTTGAGAAACTTAGACACAAAGCCACATTAGGAGACATCAAGAAAGCATGTAAGTTTGTCATATTAGGCAGCAACAGTTTTAATCAAATTTTTATGTCTCATACACATGTGGTTATGCAAGGCTCTTTCCCAAGGAGCCTTGTGTGATTACACAAATGCATGAATTGATGAATTTTAACTGTGCGATTACACTCAGGATGTGGTGGTGTAAGAAAGAAATTTTTCAGTTGAATAGAACATTGAATTTTTTTGTCATTAGAAGTTTTGTTCCCGGAGTTCACACCAGCTTTTTTCTATGCACCTTCATTCCTTTTTCAAGTTAAGTTAAACTCTATTAGCAAATTGGCCTCCTCCCATAGCTCAGTTGGTAGATCACTGCAGCACTAAATCAGAAACCATGGGTTCAAATCCTGTTGAAGTTCTGAATTTTTCGTTTTTGGGGGGGAGGGGGTTAATTTTCAATATTGCTGAAATAACGCTTACAGCTATGATGTTCATATCTTCGATTTCATTTATCTTCATGGCAGTGAAATATTTGATTTCTCGGACCTTTAAGCGGCGCTGCAAGCTGCAATAAAAGGCGGGAATTTTGGCGCGAAACTCACACCTCTGTGGCTTCTGATTGGACGTATCATTTTTCTCACACGTGAAAAAACATCGTTCGCGATTCTGATTGGACGTATGATTTTTTTTCACGTGTGAAAACCATCGTTCGCTCCTCTGATTGGCTAGAACTAATTTGCGTACGAAAATTTACGACATAACTTTTTGGTGAGTATTTCTCAGTATGTATATAATAAATGTGTTTTCCAAGTGGGGGAACACATGTCACTAGGGATATGTGTTTTCCAAGTGGGGGAACACATGTCACAAGGGATATGTGTTTTCCAGGTGGGGGAACACATGTCACTAGGGATATGTGTTTCCCAGGTGGGGGAACACATATCACTAGGGATATGTGTTTTCCAGTTTGGGGAACACATATCACTAGGGATATGTGTTTCCCAGGTGGGGGAACACATATCACTAGGGATATGTGTTTTCCAGGTGGGGGAACACATGTCACTTGGGATATGTGTTTCCCAGGTGGGGGAACACATGTCACTAGGGATATTTGTTTCCCAGGTGGAGGAACACATATCACTAGGAATATGTGTTTTCCTACCTGGGACCTTCTACTAATTTGTATCCACTCAAATGATGGAAAGTATTTCTATGTATACCTGGGAATGCTAACGAATTTGTTATTACTGTTATTTTTGTTGGGTCACCATACCTCCCCTGAACTCCCTGGGGAGACAGCCTCCTTCTGTTTTGGAGTTTTGAAAAATCTGTTGATTACTTACATACACTTATGACTTTATTTGTAATAACTGTGGTGCATTCTGTGCGATTGTTTTAGCACCATCCTCCCTTAGAATAGAGCCAGTTGGTAGATGGTTTGAAGCAAACCTTCAGCGACGTCAGCATGGTCTTTCATCTCATCATTCAAGTTCCAGTTCAAGTTCAAGTGCAAGTTCTGAAGTAAATCTCTCATCTGATGAAGAGGATCCTAACTTTTTACTTACTCTTGATCCTTCAGAATGGAAGGTAGAGTTTATGTATTCTATATAAGTATTATTATGTAGCAGTCAATTCCAAAACCCACCATCCTTCCCCTCTCCCGGTGCATACCCTAGCCATTTGACCGCCGTTTTGCCCATACAGTGGGGAATTTGACCCAAAATGAGGCCTGCCCAGACGGTCATTTGACCCCTTTTGTGTCAAAATGCTGGTCAGCGTCGCAAGCAAAAGGATTTTGTAATTCTTACTGCATTCAGTATGAGCATGGTGTTTACAGCTCTTTGCTCCTATATTCGCTGTTTTGTTGGAGCTTTGAGAACCTTTGAAAAAGCCTGTAAATGTGGGCTTTCTGGAATGTACAATTTTGTGTAAATGAAAAAACCTCCATAAGACAGTTTTCTGAGACTGAGATATTTCGGATGTGTATAACAATGTTTATATTTGAATAAAAGATTTGATGCATTGGGAAATTTTGGAACAGTTGCTGGTGGGTGGGGGATTTGATGCTTTTTGAAGTGCTAGCCAGTGGGCATTTGACCATCTAAACAGCCAACACACTGGGCAATTTCACCAAAATTTTTCAAAAACTTCAAATGCCCAGGGGGAAGAAGGAGGGGGCATGGGCGGTTTTGGGATTGACCGGTTCATTACCTTAACAAACAAGACTGTCACAGAGCTGTTACGTATAACTTAAAGATACTTTTTTCTGTTTGTTACAATAATACATTCATTTTGTGTAAAAGGAGGAAATTTGGTTCTTGCTCTTTCCACGTTTTTAAGAAACTTTGCAATTTTACGGTGTTAAAAATCTGGCCAGGTTTTGTCATACTGTTTAAAATTAATATTGGTTGTCAAATATTGGAATTGTTAAACAATGTTGTGCTATTTTCTAACTGCAAACACTGAACCACGACACATATTTTAACAATAAATTTCTAAAAATTAAAATTTGCATCGTCATGGTTAGGTGATGATTGTGTTTTTTTTTGTTCTGAGATTTAGTGTTAACATGTTTATGACATGTTCATGAGGCCTTATGTGCCACAAGGCACAAAGAAGATAGGTGAACGTGAATGTTTATGACATTCATTTTGCAGCAACAAGATCATTACAAGGTCCTTGGACTTGAGAAACTTAGACACAAAGCCACATTAGGAGACATCAAGAAAGCATGTAAGTTTGTCATATTAGGCAGCAACAGTTTTAATCAAATTTTTATGTCTCATACACATGTGGTTATGCAAGGCTCTTTCCCAAGGAGCCTTGTGTGATTACACAAATGCATGAATTGATGAATTTTAACTGTGCGATTACACTCAGGATGTGGTGGTGTAAGAAAGAAATTTTTCAGTTGAATAGAACATTGAATTTTTTTGTCATTAGAAGTTTTGTTCCCGGAGTTCACACCAGCTTTTTTCTATGCACCTTCATTCCTTTTTCAAGTTAAGTTAAACTCTATTAGCAAATTGGCCTCCTCCCATAGCTCAGTTGGTAGATCACTGCAGCACTAAATCAGAAACCATGGGTTCAAATCCTGTTGAAGTTCTGAATTTTTCGTTTTTGGGGGGGAGGGGGTTAATTTTCAATATTGCTGAAATAACGCTTACAGCTATGATGTTCATATCTTCGATTTCATTTATCTTCATGGCAGTGAAATATTTGATTTCTCGGACCTTACTGCTTTGAACAAAGTCTTGAGTTAGGCTTTCCTTTCTCTAACAATGATATAAAATCCTGTAAATTATGTTACTTTTTTAGTTAAAAAGAAAGTCCTGAAACATCACCCAGACAAGAAGACGTCAAACCCAGATGCCAGTGACTCAAAGATTTCTGAACAGAGCCTCTTTGCATGTATAACCATTGCAAATGATATTTTAAGCAACAAATCTAAGAGAAGAGCATACGACAGTGTTGATCCTTACTTTGATGATTCAGTTCCTTCAGTTAATTCCAACTCCAAGAGTAATTTTATTGAAGTATTTGGTCCAGTCTTTGAAAGAAATTCAAGGTAAGATCACTCTGTATCATAGATTATAAATCATTATCATAGATCATAAATGCCGTGTAGATATTGTGCAATCTGAGTTTCAGGATTTAAAATGCCTGTGGGGAAGGGAGGGGGAATCTCTATTTATCTCTATTTATAAGCTGGTCGGCTTCTCAGAGATTTCCCTGCATGGTCACCTTCCAGGGGCGGATCCAGGATTTTTTTTAGGAGGGGGTGCACTCGTCTCTTGCTCTACTTCAACACCAATAAACCACATAGTTTTTTTTTGCAGAATACCAGTTGTATTAGAAAACCGCAGGTCATCTCAGGGGGGGGAGGGGGTGTGCACCCCCTGCACCCTCCCCCTAGATTCGCCACTGCCTTCCCAGCTGTTAACTAATTAACTTGTTATGATTTTACTGCTACTTACTGTAATTTATTTTGTGTGGCAAAAATTATGAAATAAATGGAATAAAATAGGCTTGAATACCAATGGCTGTTCAGGAAATGATCACATACTCCTCCCTAAAACAAAGTGGACCCGAAGGAGCTACCGAAATTGAGCCTATCTGTATCAGTTCACTTTGATAATCATAGCGGAGCTCCACGCGAGACGCGAACCATAGCTAAGGAAATGTGGTAATTTACCCATCCGAGAAAATTTGATAATCACGTGACCGTACATCGAGTGACCGACCGACCGACCGCACCACAGGCATACCAATGTAAAATAACTCAATCAACAGGTATCGCAATTCAAATGCAACTCAAGGTTTTATTTGGAAGGAAATCACATGGCCGCCCGGACTTTTAGAAGGAAAAAGCAACAACAAATTCGTGTCTTTTTCGGCATTATTTTTTATGTTTACACTAACGTGGATAACAGAGAAAGAGCTAGAGCGAGTTATTGAAAACAAAGGAGACGAATTTCGTAGGAAGAAAAACATGGCAATTCAAAGCGGCGGTGAGAAAATGAGAAATGCTAGCGGCCAGCAAGGTGAAAATGAGCGGCAGTGAAAAATAAAAGGGAACATGAACACAGGAAACAAAATATTGGGTAAGCACATACGACAATTACTCCATAAAAATAATGTGTAGCTAGGACGTTTGACGTCTTAGTCGTACAAAACAGCGTTGTAGTCGTGCAAAACAACGGCAAGGGAAAGACAAAAAAGCGTGCTGCTCGTGCAAATTTGGTTTTTGCTAATTAGAAGAAAAAGTGTACCGCACGTGCAATTTGGTTTTTTGCTAATTAGATCTAGTAGACTTGAAGCCATTTTCAATACCCAATTCAAATCTCCCGGGGATAAGATTCTTTGTGTTTTGTATTTGCATTATAATGTGACATTCACATTTAAATGATATGGAAATTCCTGAAACAAAACGTTTTATTCCCAAAAGGTTTGAATTGGGTACAACATTGAGTTAGCCGAATAGGTCTATTGCAGTCTGTGAAATTTTGTTTTACTGTAGGTGGTCGAATCTTCAACCAGTGCCAACATTAGGAGATAATAATTCTACTTTTGAAGAAGTTGATAATTTTTACAGTTTTTGGTAAGCTTCTTTTCTTGCGTGCACTTTTAACTAGTTAGTTAATACACGATTTTTGCTTATATCCAGTGTAATTGTTTCTTCTCGACAGGCTTTCTTTGTACAGTACAATTTGGTATCAAATTTACTTTTGGACCGCAAAGTTTTTTGTATTGCAATTGTAAAGAAAAGTTAGTTTAAGAAGGGGGTGAATTTTCGCTGTTTCTTTCTCGCGGAAGTTTATTCTTGGGAATCTTTCGAAAATCCGCGAAATTCACAAAAACCAGATCCCGCATTATTTCTTGTTACATTGTAACGCTTCTCTGTTATTTTGTTGTAGGTATAATTTCGATTCTTGGAGAGAATTTTCTTATCTTGACGAAGAAGAAAAAGAAAAAGGCGAAAAGTAAGTATACTCACGATTAATTTTTTGATGTTTGATCTTAAACTTGCACCTTTTAACCTTTTTTTTGTTACTTTATCACAGCCGTGACGAAAGGAGATGGATTGAAAAACAAAACAAAGTCATGCGACAAAAGAAGAAAAAAGAAGAAGTTACTCGCATTANTTTGATCTTAAACTTGCACCTTTTAACCTTTTTTTTGTTACTTTATCACAGCCGTGACGAAAGGAGATGGATTGAAAAACAAAACAAAGTCATGCGACAAAAGAAGAAAAAAGAAGAAGTTACTCGCATTAGGAATTTAGTTGGTATGTTTCTCTCAGTCATGGCTTGCAAGCAAGCCCTCCAATTTATGGCGAGCGATGCGAGCAGCGAAGGAACGCGCAAACGAGCGGTGATAGCCTTCGTGGCGCGAATGCTAAATGGAGAGGGCGCGAGAGGAGGAGGAAAACGATCCCACTCGCGTTTTGTTTCGCTTTCGGCTCTCGCGTGACTTCTCGCGATGACTCCCCCAAATTTAGAGCTTGCTCGTAGGCTATCTCAGACGTAGTTTTTACGTCGTTACTGATTTTTTATGTATATACCGTTGGTTGTAGATAATGCTTATACTTGCGATCCAAGAATAAAAAAGTTCAAAGAAGACGAGAAGGAAAGAAAACTTGCTGAAAAGAAAGCCAAAGAAGATGCAGCGCGGGCAGCTGCAGAAGAAAAAGAACGAGTGAGTATTGACACACTATCTGAGTGGCGCTCAAGAAGCCAAACAAGCGAACTTTCTCGCAGGCTGCTCGATATAATTTAACGGCTACGCTATTACTCTTTCACTCCTAGCAAAGACTTGAAGCTCTTGAAAATGAACGAAAACTTAAAGAAAAAGAAGAACAAGAAGCAAGAGAAAAGGTGAAGAAAATACTAAACTGATTTTAATCTTATCTTTCAACAAAGGGGCGTTTAAAACCGTTGCCTGAACCCCGACTTAGTTTAAACGGTTTGTACCGTTATTTCTCCGTACTTTAAGCGAGTGTAAACTTCTCTTTCCAGAACTGAAGTTCCGTTCACACCAAAGCTTCGATGATGTTTGTCTATATCATAGCTGATTTGAAAATATCCAGAATGAAATTAAATATTTGAGAAAGACACTATTGCGGCATCTCCGCTCGGTTTTCAATTGAAAATGGAAAAAATAAAAACCAAATGATATGTAATATCGTCGCTTTTGTATCATAATGTAGTTTACTTGTGATGGTGATTGCTACTTTTCGACTTGTTGCGTGTCATCTTGTTGCTTAAATAAAGGAGGCTTGAAACGATATCCAAACGTCCGCTCATGTTTAGATTTTTAAACGAACTTTATTAGGGATCACAACTGATTATATTTTTTTTATAGGCGCAAGCGGCCAAAGTAGAAAAAACAAAAATGAAGAACATTATGAAAAAAGAACGAAAAACCATACGGACAGTAATAAAGGTGCGTTACGTTGCATTCCCTTTGTTATGTGTACTAGTTGCGCTTGATGGTCCATTACCGTGGAAACAGATGGAGTGGTAACATTCTTCAGGAAAAGACTGTTAGTCAAGACAAATCAGTCAGGAATAGTGTGAAAAACTGAAAGGCTAGGATTGATTTTGTACTTAGGGGTAGTTCCAATAAAATATGCAGCATTTACAGCATTCCGCATACTGTATTGGGCCATTTCAAAGGCCAAAAACGGCCATTTAGAGTCATTTGAGCCAAATTACTCTTGGGTGGAGCTAAACTGCTTATTTTTAAACTTTCTTTTGACAGAATTATGATTATTTTGTCGAAGACGAAGAGGCAAGAATTCGTGAAATGGAGGTGATGGACCGGCTACTCGAAGTAATTTCTCTTGAAAAGTAAGAACCTCTTTTTTTCTGTAAATAAGTCGTAAGTTAAAAATTATGCTGTTGGCAACGTGGAGTCTCTGGAGTATCCAGACAAGGGAGAATTCCAGTGTTGATTGTAGGGATATATGTGTTAAGGTACAAGTATTATATAGCGTAATTAGTATTTTCTTTGTATGATCCAGTTTACAGACGTTCAGAGAAGGTCTTGAAACGGCCGGATCGAAAGAGGAAGTGAAAGTAATTTACGAAAAAGAGGTAGGGAACAACGCTGCCATAACTTGTTTTCAACTGGTTTTGTATCGTAAATTCTAACCAATTTGAATGTATGTTTTGAACAATAGATTATTTCTTACTTACCCAAAGCCTTCGCTTCCGTATATTGAACAATTAATGAATGAGGCTGAGTATCTTATGAAGAATCATGGTGATCGAGGAGGGTGTTACTTCGAGTTGTATTCTTGCTGTTGTTGCCATGTTTTTAGCGATTATTTTGCTTAGTTCTTACTCTTGAAACAAGTGAAATGTCTGCCATTTTTTGTTTCCTCAACCAAAACAACTCAACCTCGTCCCCAGGTCTTCTCGGTTAACGGCGCATTAACCTGCAAAAACGCTGCTTTTTTGACGTCATTTCCTCGTTAAACACAAAATTCTTCCAAATTTGGTCATCAGCAACTGGTTATGGTGAATTATGCGTGTGCTTTTAGCCAATCAGAATCGGGGATATATTTGGAATGAATAATAATTGCTTTTTAGATGGAGCAAATGAGAGAACGAATGAGACAAGAGGCCATGGCTGCGACGAAACAAACAACAAAGAATAAAGAAGAAGGAGAAGAAGTGACTGATGACTGGACTGAAGAGCAAACGCAGCTTCTTATTAAAGCTGTTAACCTCTTCCCTGCTGGTACTGCTTCCAGGTAAACCTCGACGTGATATAATTTCTCAGAGTTCCGAAACGTATTTGTGCGGCTCAGTTTTCGATTTCCCGGATCTTGAAATAACTGAGGAGCAAAGTATCGGTGTGACCCGGAGGAGGACCACGTAGAAATGTTGGTCTTGTGCAAGTACTACTGAAGAGGTTTCATTTGAATGGTAACACCATAGGATTTCATCCAGACTCAAAAGTGAGAACTGCATACTAAAGAAATAGTACCATGTGAAAGTACTGCGGAAGAGTTTTTAATTAAATGGTAGCACAATAGGATTTCATCCACAGACTCAAAAGTTAGAGCTGCATACTAAATAAATAGCACCATGTGAAAGTACTGCTGAAAAGATTTTATTTAAATTTCTTACACCATAGGATCTCATCCACAGACGCAAGAGTGAGAACTACACACTAAATAAATAGCACCATGTAAAGTGCTGCAGCTGAGGTTTTACTTGGTAACATAATAAAATTTCATCCACAGACTCAAAAAGTTAGAACTGCGTTCATTCATCTACTCATGACTGATGCTGTAAGTTTAAAGGTTAATGGTACATGTTTTGGTTTTGTTTTTAGATGGAAGGTGATTGCTGATTACGTCAATATGCATTCAAAGACTGGCACCGAACGAGACTCGAAGCACGTCATAAAAAAAGTCAAGAACTTGAAGAAACTAGGTTTGTGCCAGGCATGTTTTACTCTGCTTCCATTTAAGCTGTCAGGTTTCAACTTGGTTCCAGCCAGGCTTCTCTCCTACTCGTCCCTACGGAGTGACGAATAAGAGAGAACCCTGGGAACGAGGTTGGTCAGGTGCATGCATCTGTGTGCCGCGCAACAGTAAACAGGCAACTTGTGTTAAAGGCGAAAGTAATCCGAACAAACAAACGAACAAATCCGATCATGTAGGCGGTAGCAAGGACCAGCGGGCATCTACATAAGTGCATGCGCTTAAAACACTGTAGAAACGACCAACTTTTTACAGATGTAAGAGATTATCGTTTATACGCAAATCAGTATGTTTTTTTCTTTCATGGTCAAAGTAAGCCATGGTCCCTTGCAGTTGATTGACAGATCATTTTGTACACAATTTGCGACTCATAACATTTAGTTCAACTTGGAGATGTGATCAGATTTCTAAGGACGAAATTTTATAATCAACAGATCCGTCTCAAAAACAGGAGGTTAACCGAAAAGCTTTTGCAAAGTTCGATAAAGATCACAGCGGGAGCAGAACAGCAACAGCCGCGGCAGAATCTGATCCAACTGTTAGATATAATGGTAAGGTCACTCTATCCACTTGTTAGAAGTACATGAAAGTATCCTGTACTTTGGGATTCAAACGATCGTTTTATCATTCAAAGTTAAAGCTCTACGTTAATTTTTCATGGACCTTCTCAAGTCTTTTCAAGTCTACTGCGCATTTTCTACTCGAACTGCACTTAAAACGAGGCGAAGACGGTGGATACGATTATGTGAGCCTTGGCTCGTATATGTAGGTTGCGTATGTTGCCTCCTGGCTTTCGCTACCCACCCTTCTCTATTTGAGAAGGGATGAGTAAGGGAGCGGTCTAAAAACTTCAAATTAATCGTGGATGTGAAGAGTAAGTTTTTGCATGAATCTAGTTTGAAATTTTATCGTCTTTAAAGATTGTTTTTTGTCTTCGTTAGGAAACAATGCTGCGGAAGGTACCCAACAGACAACTGATAAACCTTGGACTTCAGAAGAACAAAGGGTAAGAAATGGCTGTGTCAATTTAAGTTTAGATGAGTGACACATAATTCTCCTCAGTCGAACATTTTCTCTTTCTTTTTCCTCGTTTAGCTTTTAGAGAATGCTTTACGCTCATATCCCACCAATACAGCGGAAAGATGGGAGCGGATCGCTGAATCTGTACCGGGACGAACGAAAAAAGAGTGCATGAAAAGATACAAGGTTAGTCAAGTTTAGTGAGGTTTACGATTTATTTTGAAAGCAATTTACTTCAATTATGGATTACTGAAGTTATTTTGCATTTGAAATTGGACCAGAAATAGGTAACAAACGTACCTTTTATGCATCTTGCGTTTTTGCGCACGTTATTCATTCTTTTTGGTCATTTATTTGTAGGAATTAGTTGAGATGGTGAAAGCCAAGAAAGCTGCACAAAGCAAGGGAAAAGTAGCCTAACAAACACAAAAGAAAGCTCTTCTTTCGTGCCTCCTTTATTTTGGATACACCGCCCTCGATACCTGGACCCTGTTTACATGGAGTGGGGGACCCCGGTCTAGTGGGGTAGGTTTCTTTTCTTTTGTGTCCCGTAGAGCGTGAAAACAAAAGAAACCAACCCCACTAGACCGGGGTCCCCCACTCCATCTAAACAGGTCCTTTAAGTATCTATGTACTCTACTGGTATTTGGCAGCAAGTGTTCTCATTTTATAACGTTTGCTGCAACGAGCTCTACGCTGAATCACTAAGTAAATTTTTTGTAAATAAAAAGTGAATAATTCTCTAAAGCCGTTCGACTTTCCTGAGACGTTTGCTTGAACTTTTTGATTGGGAAAATTTGCATCATGCTAATCTGGGAAAGCTTTAGGAAAGCTGAAGCGACAGGATTTTTGTTTGCTGAGTGTGATTTGTAAGTTCTCGCAAAAACTGGAGACTGGCTAAATATATATAGTTGTATTTTGTCCAAAGTCGCCCTTTGGAGAAAATCTGCGTTACGCCGCGAGTCTACTTCCGTGTTAAGTTGTCCTCATCACTGGAATCACATTAGAGCATGGCAGTTGATCTGAATTTGTTGATGTTACTCAAAAATCTTCTGAAATGAACAGAACACGGTACAATTTCACAAAACTATTGCGAATCGCGGCGACAATCAAGCCTTTCAATGTGGCTATTTTCACCTAATTCTCCCTTCATATATTTTAGCCAACATACCTATTATAATGTCAAAACAAATTGAGGAAGACAACGGGATATATTTGCCTTATATTCTGGAAATATATACTTCATTGTTCTTCCTGGAATTGTACATTCTCCCTCATTGTTCCGGCATTTTGAGCTATTTTGCCTGATAATCGAACTGACGTCACTAATTTATTCAATCTATTACTCACACAACACCACACTTCTTTGAAAATTTCCAAGTGATAATGATAAGTATTATCATTAGTAAGAGAAAAATACTAATTACCCATTCATATCAGCATATCAGTTACATTTTTAGCCACAGCAAAAGCCTGCATTATTAGGCTAAACGTTTGTGCAATATCAATGTTTAATAATTGAGGTTGATCATTTAAATACCAAACAGATTTTTCACAAAGAACCCTTTTTTATTGCTGACAAAGAGTTCCACAAATCGTAGATTGGAAGGATTGATTCGGCTGAGGAATAATCATATTTGACAAAGTTAGTCCGTTCATCTCAATGCTGCATCTGCCAGTTGGCTTTCCTGTTGAAGTAAGAAGTCATAAATTAAATGTGAAAAAACTAAATGTAGTTTAATTCTTAAACTACGAAACACCTACATTGTGTAAATGCCCTAAGGGCTAACCCACGCAGCACAACTGGTGAGTTTGCAGTATTTTATCTATTCTAGACTGTCAGTGTTGTAATGAACGATTTTTCTGCATAATTTATTTATGATCATATGTCTGGGTTAAAAGTGTGTTCGGAAATTGAACGATTGCAATATAATTTTGCAAAGTCATGAAAGGAAATTTATAAAATTTTCCTTGGAAGAATAACTTGAGGTCTTCTTGTTCCTTGACTTATACTTTTTGAGTCACGTGACCAAACATAAAATAGCATTAAGTTAAGAGTGTGGGAGCTTGTGGGGAAGTTGAATAAGAAGCAAGCTCCTTCTTACCTGCTGGTTACAAGAAAGTACATTGCAAGTTTTACTACAAATATGAGCAACTTCTACATCTCCACAGTTCCCCTTTTCCATTTCATCCTCACACGTGACCAGATTCTCCGCATCGTAACATTCATCTGCCGGAGTTTAGTATAGAAAGCAAAAGGAATCAATTCCACAGAAAATTCGACAAATCTTGTAAGATATAAAAAGATGATTGAGAAGGCTCTACATAATATCATACCTAGATCTCTTGTTGAAGAAACCAAAGGTACCATCAGCTTCGTAGACAAGAGGTCTGGGTACGAGATTAGGCTCTTCAATCAAACTGGACCTTCCTCCAAGACAAACGATGTACTATTGAAGGTTCGGGAGCATTTCTTTTTATTTCTTTGTTTTTCTGGCCCCAGCCGTGAAAAAAAGTTGAGCTATGTACCGGATAAAGCACTATCCAATGCTTAGCATTAAGAAAACCAATTGCACTCTCAACCAGATAGAGATTTTTGCGGCCAGATGATCTACTTCTCCTACGAGTCCCGTATGTAACCTAGTATGTCCTTTAGAATAGCACTCTTAGAGTCTGATTCTGAAAGGGTATTCGCAGGATCCGGCAGATTTTGAACCTAAATATTTTGCGGGATTCGGGAAAACCCAAAACTTTTTCGGTGGAATAAGGTATTTGACGACTACCTAGGGAAGCGAGATTCGCCAGGAAATATTGGCACAGGATACGTTATTGGGAAAGAAAACGGTATTCAGGATAGATAGTTGAGAAGTTCCGGACGAGGGATTGGCAAAGAAGGGAGCGCGAATACGGGATCAGGACCCCCCCCCCCCCCCCCCCCCCCCCCCCCCCCCACCACCCACACAAGGCGTATAACATCGGAAACCGCGCGGCAGGG